ACCAGAGTTCTATCAGGCCTCCCTTTACAGCCATATGTAGTTTTGATGTGATATAAATTGTACTGTATTAATATACTTGTAGAGCTTCGCACACCGGCGATGCCTGTAGGGGTCGGGGGAGGGAAAGAGAGAGGGGGATTTCATCTGAACTTGCGGACATGACATGCTGCGAGCTGCATCGTTGTCGTCGGTGTCGTCATCGTCATTGTCGTCGTCGTCGTCGTTGTCGTTGTTGTCGTCGTTGTTGTTGTTGCTTCTGGTCCTCGTTCTCGTTCTCGTTCTTGTTCTTGTTCGTGTTGTCGTTGTCGCTCTCCTTGTTGTCGTCGTTGTCGTCATTGTCGTCGTTGTCGTCGTTGTCGTTGTTGTCGTCGTCGTCTTCGTCGTCGTCGGCGGCGTCGTCGTCGTCCTCGTCGTTGTTGTTGTTATTGTTGTTGTTGTTGTTGCTGTAGCTGCTTGGTCCTGTTGTCGTTGTCGTTGTTATCTTTGTAGTTGGTACTTTTTGCAAACCCCCGAAAATCGTCAAATAGGCGGTTTTTGCAAACCCCCAAAAAGCGTCAAATAGGCGGTGCTTGCGCGATTTTTCACGTTCTCGGAACCAAAAAACACCGTAAATACCGATGTTTTTGGCTCCGCGTTTACTGGAGGGTAATCCTGGCCCCCCCACCATAGAATGTTTTGGAAACCCATAGATCCACCAGAAATTGTACTCGCCGAGTTCTAAACCAACTTATCATTTTGATGGGTCCAGTCATAGCACGGGCATTTTTTGGGCACTATATGGTTCATTCCTCATTGGATGGTTACTGTATATAGATATATAGATAGATAGATAGATAGATAGATATATATAATGTTATTATGATATTTAACGTTGGTAAACCATGGTAAACCCAATCATAAACCTCTATTGTGGATAGTTTACTATTGGGTTTAGCACATTGTTGAGCCTTAGCTACATTTTGAACAAGTGGAGTGCGGAGCGACGTTGTAGGACCAGCGTCCAGCAATGTGACAGGGTTCAAACCCAGGTTGGCTCCCTGACCAAAGTTTGCATCATCAATTTCGAACATATTCCATCCAACAATGAAATATAAGTGGAGGTTTGAATGGGAAATGGTGGATTTTCCTTTGGTACATCACAGATTGAAGAACATTTCGTTTGGGGGAAAGCCGTTGTGTGATACCATTTGTGGTGCTTGAATCCAGCGCGCACCTTGAGATGCCACCATGGAGATCTCACTCCGCAAATGATTCGAATGATATCCCCACTTCTGATCTCATTGGCATCAAACATCGAAATCACTTTGCATCACCATCTCATACATGCATTGTATACATATATTATTATGTATATACATATATTATAATTATTATGTATATACACTCATATTAGTATATGTAAATATATATATACATACATACATACATTACAATACAATACAATACATTACATTACATTACATTTACATTACATTACATTACATTACATTACATACATACACACATACACACACAGACATACAGACATACATACATAGAGACAGACAGACATACATTACATTACATTTACATTTACATTTACATTACATACCATACCATACCATACCATACCCTACCTACCTACCTACCTACATACATACGTACTTACATACATACATACGTACTTACATACATACATACATACATACATATGAGTTATACATGAACATATATATGTATATATATATATTATGTAATATGATATATATGTATATATACACGATATAAATGAGTTCAAAAGAATCAGGATGAACCATTTTTTGCGGTGTTCGCCCCTTGAGTCAGGATTCCAGCCTTGGACAAGCGCACGCAGGATGGCGGGACTGAGGTGCCCCGGTGCGATGCGGTGATTGGAGGATTTTTTTACATCACGACTGGGGGAACCTGTTGATGATGTTGATGATCCACATATATGTATATATATATATTATGTATATATATATATTATGTATATATATATATGCATATATATATATATTAATGAATTTGAATGCATCAAGTGTTGTTTTGATGGTTTGAGATGATTTGAATGATTGAATATTTGCCATATGAAACTGGGTTCAGTGGTCGTGATGTGCTGGGAGTTCATAGAAATATTATATAATTTCAACACATATATACATCTCGAGCACGACATTCTTGTTTGATGCCTTCAACATATTTGCATCCCAGCTAGTCCCATCCCCGTTATGTAGATCCACCTTGGCACCCCAATATGTAGATCCACCATCCTACAGTACACGGGTTTTGATTTATCCCAGGTTCCCCAGGTTCGTGACTCGGAGATGGGAGTAGTTGTAAAAGACACACTTTTTTGCCTCACAAAATTCCAATCATAGAATAAACATCATAGATATGTAAAATAAGACCACTTTTGTTGGGTATATATGGGCATTTTTTGACAAACTAGTGCTGGTCGGTGGTGGGTCGGCAAGGGTCATAGTCGTTTGGTGGTCTGGGATGTAGTTTCCTGCTGGATATCAGTGGGTTGTTGGTTGGTTGTGCGTTGACAGTTGTTTTGGCCAACCGTGCGTTGACAGCCGCCCAGCCATAGAAACACGCACCAAAATCACCCACCACGACAGGATTACCATTCTAAGTACCCATTTATAAGTACATCCATCATAGAATTGTCATAATGACGACTAACGATCCTAGAATTATAGAATCATTATTACAAAAATAACCACAATGATTAGCCATCATTGCATCCATTAAGCATAGGTGGACCATAGTATCCATTAACAATCATGATTCATCATGCTTGCCATTGTCATTATACCATAATCAACCATACTCATTAGCCATCATAGAATTTACTACAACAAATTCACCCTGCAGCTTGCCACAGTGATGAACGCGCAATCCATCAACCATAGTTTTTTGTTATATATAATAAAACATAATTATCAGATTATTATCACATATATCCATCAACCATAATGATTAACAATGAACAATAATTACCAGTATCATTATACCAGAATCAATCATACCCATTGCCCATCATCTTGGTTTTGAATTGATATTTATATTAATTAATTAGCATAATCATGAAACATAACTATATGATGATTATCTGCTTATAAGAAAAACACCATAACCATGAACTATCATAGTCGATAATGACTATCACTATCATAATATCATAAAGTAACTTAATCATTATCCACTTCCTAGTATCCACTTCCATTCCCACTATATGTCTATATATATACAGATATTTATATTATAGACATCTCATTATTTTTAGGTTCCGATCATATCATTATACCATAATCATAGTGAGATATAATATAATTATGCCATTAAATAGTGAGATATACCATTATATCATACTATATCATTAGTATCGACCGATTATATAATCTATAGCTTTCCAGATTCTCCCCTGATTCTCCCCTGATTTCTTCAGATTTTCAGGTGGTCGAGGCCAAAGCCGGCAAGGGCAGCGCGACCTTGTCGATGGCCTACTCCGGCGCCCGCTTCGGCAACAAGGCGCTGCAGCTGAAGGGCTGAAGGGCACATGGAATCGCCGATTTTTTTCATGATTACCCATAGGATCCATGTATGGTATATATGCTAACATTTGGGGTATATTGATGGTAAATGTCACCATATATAGCATACATGGATCCTATGGGTTATACTTTGAAATATACCCGAAAGGGGTAAACATGCAAAAAGATTCGGAAAACTATCGACGACATTGGTTTTCGTTTGGAAAATGATCGACATTTCTGGTGGGTTTTCCACATCTTTTTTTGGTATGTTTACAGGAGGTGAACCAGAAAAATTGGGATTTAGCCGTGACAAACATCTATGACACAGGGGATTTACGCATAAAACATGATGGGTTGAGCCATCATGGAGATACCTAGACTCTCTGTTTGTACCGATATACCCCATAGCCCTTTTACCAATACTATTTGGGATATTTGGAGGCTCTGGGTATAACCAATATTTTTGTGATTTACATCTGACAATATTGGGATTTATGGTGAATTCAATGTGACTTGCTGCCAAACTTGTGGTGATTCAATGTGACTAAACATGATTATACTAACCACTTCATGGGGAAACAATGGGAATATGATGCAGTCGGATAGAAGACAATTTTAATGGAATATGAGGGGATGTATAACGTCAACAACATTGTTTGCTTCCCTAAATTCGGAGTAACTGCTCCTTGTTGCCAGACTTGAAAGTGGGACTGAAATCATGGCTCTTTTGCATCCGTTTTGATGGAACATGCTTGGAAACACGCGATTTGCGATTTCAAGTCTTACATCACCAGAGGAACAGACTGTTTGTCTTGTGATCTCACGTTGCTAGATCAAAAATGATGAAGGGACATTTTTACAGGAAACCCTCTAGCACATGCTAAGAAAAAACCATGGTTTCCTGAGTTTCCGGTCGATTTTCCCCCCATCCAATGACTAGAGGATTCAGCCACTGGATACAGCGCCAGGTGCTGAAAGGGATGGCTGGAACGCCCACGGATGAGTGCGCCTATGTTGCGTCCACTGTCACAGACCTGCCATATTTCTCCTCCAAGGTGCCAGAAGCCACCTGTGGTCGGCTCCGAGCCATATGGATTGATGGTTGAAATCCCACCCATTTATGGTAAAAGTGTCGAGAATCGGGGATGGTTTATGATTGTTTGACCAACATGAAAGACATTTTCGGGATTTTTTGAGATTGATGATGAATACCAATGGATGAAATCGTTTAGTTTACATGCCATTTTCAGACCCACAGTTTTTTCTGGGATGTTCAATCTCAACAAGGAGTGGGGACACCACCTTTGGAGATACATGAATCCTGGACCTGGGCATTGCGGCATTGCTGTCCTTAGACTGTGAAGGTTCAGGTTTCCACCAATTTTCATGACGGCCATTTTGGGTAAACGCTGGTAGATAGTATTCTAAACCAGCCCCAAACTTCACATTTTTTGCCCGTTTGGATTCATCCAAAAATGCAAAAATGAGCCCATGGTGCCACCGCGCAGGTGACCTTTGGTAAGACGGGTGTCGAGAAGATTCATCCGGTGGGAGCCTTGAACAGCTACGAGGAGGGCAGATTGAAGGAGGCCCAGCGGACCCTGCGGATGTGGTTCGGATGGGCCTTGAACCCACGGAAACAGGGGATAATAGGGGATTTGAACCGTTGAAATGGGGGATTTGAACCATTGAAATGGGGTTGTAAATGGGAAGATGCCCTCTCTGATGGGCCCCAGAAATCTCCGGTCTGAAGATTTCGGGCTTTGCTTTGGTCATTTAACCTACATCCAAGGTTGAGTTAGCTGAGACATGGCAAGAATGTCTCTGAGTGTGATAAATCTAAACACCATCCCAACGATCACCCAGTTGGGTCATCAAAAACATCATCCGCGTCATAGATTCCGAATTCATAAACCCCAAATCGGGGATGGTGACTATATGTGTCTATGGCATTGGGCTTAGCTGTACAGGCCATGGACCAGTTGAAGACTGAGATCGACAAGGGCTTGGAATACATCGCAGGGAAGTGAGCGAAATTCCGGCGCGGTACAGCGGCCGCGCGCTGCACAGCCTGTGGCTGGTTCCAGGGGCGAAAACCCGGGGAACTTCTCCCCAGAAAAAGAGGAGGAAGTCCAGTCATCACAGACGGCTCCTTGATTGATTCAGGGGTGGCAGTTGCCACGATGTGGCGAAAGTCCAAAAATGGGGTACCCCTCAAGTCCAATGGTTCATCGTCCCAGAAAATCGCCATGTTGGGGTTCCATTTTTTGGACTACGCCATGACAAGGTGTGGCGGTTTCTGATGTACTTTTCAAGTCCCTCAGGAGAGCTGGGTGGATTTGCGACCTGGAAAAAGCAGAGGTCCAAGGGTTGGATCTAGAAGTATGTACCAAGAATGTTCTGGTTTCAACAACCCAAGAACCATACTAAGGCTGATGGTTTAAACATGTTTCAGCAGATTTTCCCCATTTTTGTCCATCGAAACCAAAGACTGGATGATTGCCCAAAATGTGCGCGAAGGCCAGATCCAAGGGTGGCAAGGTGCAGCAGATCGGTGGATTTTGGATTTAGGGATGGAGGAAGCCATTAGGGTTGTAAATTTTGTTATGACTTGATACATGTCGGGCGATTACAGTAGTAAGTTTGACCCACCCATTTCAGGAATGTCGAAAGGATGAATTTTGGTAATGGAGCTCCCATGGAGCTATCTGTTGTTGGTCCAACAATGTGCAACAGAATCATTGAGAGCCACTGATGGCAAAAAGAGTTTCCAAGATCTTCCAAACTGTCAATTCCCCAACTCAATTCAACAGTGATTCAACATTCACTTTGCCCGGAGTGGCCGCTGTCGCTAAGTTGCGTGCAGTCCTGCCAGGTCTTCTGCTACTGCGCCAAAGGCATTTCGCGAAGCTCGAGCCTGGTAATTGCGCCCTTGGCTGCAGTGGTTCTGGCAGAGGTTGGAAGGGGATAGGTCGGATAGGTGCTGATGTGGGGATTCACAAGTTGTCAAACTGCGGATAGATTGATCAACCTTGGAGTTTCCAAATTAACATGGTCCCCCGAACTCGGAACCCCCCGATCAACGCAGTGCAAAAGCTCCATGTTGGGGGGTCCAACCATTTTTTCGGAGGTGCTGATCAAGTTGACCGTTAGGTTTTCCAAGGTCATGAGCTCGTTCGGCTAGCCTGGCTCAATGGGTTTTCATCATCCGCGGCGGTGTTTACCGCGCGGCGCGCGGTTGCGGAACGTAGTCCCTTACAGGCCACCCCGCTGTACAGTGGTGCTGGTAACTGGTCACTTGGCACTTTTATATAAAGCTATTTAAATGGAAAGTTGAGTTTCATCAGTTTAATCTCCCAAAGTTATCCAAAGTTGGTACTTTATTCATTCAACATTTTATGGATACCTGGAGGGTCAAGGTTCATGGGTTTGTTGCATGTCTGGTCCAATGTTCGATGTTCCATCCAAGTTTTCGCCAATAAACCTACTTCTTTTCACATTTTTTCGATCTTTTAACACATTGACCGTATCCGTTTGAGTGTGATTTCCCAGCCATGATCTATACAGATAGTAATGTAAACCCTGGATTAATAAACCCCTAGGCTGCTTAATTGGGAAGGTACCATTTAAGTATCAAATCATGACTATTGGGGAATACCCCCCTAATTAATAAACCATGGTTTAGTCTCATCCGGGGTTGACATTATAATAGACTCATGCAGATTCTACATCCAACGACTGTCCGCAGGTTCTTAGTCCTCAGTTTCGGTGCATCCAGTTGTTGCCTGCTGAGCCACCAATGTTGGGTCGCGGTCCGCGGTTTCTCGGACATTCTTTGGCCTGGAAGATGGGTGATTTTCATGGTGAAAAACCATCAGAAATGGTGATTGAACAACCAATCAATTATCAAAATTCGGATTGAACGGATATTTCACCAATCAGGATGATAATGATAGTTGATATTAGTTGATCATGGATGACAATGGCTGTCCGAAATAATTAGGATTGAACCATCCAACATGAAGAATTTGACCAGGAATTGACTGAAACTAGGTGATTTTGCCTGTTAAAACCTGCAAGCTACGGTGGATTGATTCACAGTAGCCATGATTCGCTTGCGGGAATCAGCTACAGTTCGCCTAGCACGTTCCGTGCCCAACAGTGGTGCTTCGCACTTCCCATACTTCTCTCATCAAGACTGTAGGGAGAAATTCATGGGGGCTTCCTTGGGATTTGGATGGTGAGCTCAGTTGCATCCCTGTTATTCCCTGTTGGTTGATGATATACTACCCAATATATGGATATATGGGAGGATTTATTCGATTTGTCGGATAATATGGGTTTGTCTGAAAATAGTGTACCCCTACACCCAATGGTTAATGATCATTATCCCTACTAAATGGCTATAATTGGAGGTATACCCCATTTTCAGACATACCCATATCTATCATGATCAATGGGAACTTTAGTTCTTAACCAGCCGGTATTTCATGCTGTTCCATAGCCAAGGTTTCCCTGCGGTCAGAGGAAGAGCATGCAGATCCAGCTACCAGGACCGAGCGATCTCAGGATCGAACCAATAGAAAAAATGAGGAGAAATCACTAAGACATTGTGACACCACCTAAGAAATCCTAAGATCCTACAATTATCTACAATTCTAGTGGATAAGATCACTAAGATCCTAGAATTCTAGTGGATATTGGCGTGATATTGGGGAGTTTCAGCCCCTGAAACATCTTCAACGACCCGTCTGGGCTTCAGGAGCTGCCTCTGTTGGATGAGGAGAGCAATTCGCTCTTCCTGCTGTTACGGGGAATGACCACAGCAACCTGGCAAGGCTTCTAGACCATTCTACACCGCTGGAGAACTGGACTTAGCATATCTAGAAACTTCATGAAACTTCTAGACTATAGATGACTATAGATGACTATAGACTGATATAGTTCATGTAGAGCAGGACTTGTCAAATCTCTTAAAGGACATCCTATCTACCAACCACTCATCATCTACGACATTTCTGTGGCCCCAGCGGAGTTGATGGGAATCTGCCGAATGTCCAACCATCCATCCCAATGGGGTGATTTTCCAATTGCTATCCTGTTGCATCCCAATTTTTCCTAGTCAAATCTCCATTTTGGGTGGTACATCATTCTGAATCTCCAAGAAATCGATGTATTTTTGGCGATTTTCCAAGAGGCTTTTGGTTCCAAAATGCTCAGGTGAGTTTCTGTGAAGGCCCACCACCATTGGCTTGGCTTCGGAGCAGATTGGCCGCCATCATCGCCGCGAACCCCTGGCTCTCGGGCCACCTACGCCGAAACGGGGTGAACGACGCCGTGTCTCTCCGCTTCGACGCGGCGGGAGCCACCAGGGAGGTGCAGCTGCTGGGCTCTGTCAACATCAGCAGCAGCACGCCCTACGAAGTCATCAGCCAGCAGATCAGTGGCAGCTGCGCGGAAGTTCGGCCCGGGGGCCCGCGCTGGAAATGGGAGAGAATGGATGGAAGCCACGGATTTTTTCACGGTCAAGAAACTGAGACCCGCAGACCTTTTTTTCCACCAACCAAATTGGCCAAAATGGCGAGATACCACAGATTTGGGTTGCCATTACCTATGTTCCTGCAGTGATCAGAGTCAGTGTTGTGGGACCCCATTTGCGACATGTGAAAATCTTGAACATTGACGGCGTGGCAATTCATTATCCATGGGGTTCTCTTGTTTTGAAGATGAGTCAAAAAGGATGTGTTGCTCACCCAAAGTGGTGAACGGTTCACGTGATATATTAAGGAGATCATTCTCATGTTTGAGAATCTCAATCACAGTGCTTCACGAAGAGAGAAGTAATGCTTCTTCATTTTCTTTTTGCGAAAAATCATGTTTTTTTTCTCCTGAAAATAGGCTACCCCCCAAATTTGCCGGTAAATCCTCATGTTCCCAACAATCGAATTTCCCCTTAGGGTTAAATCCACCAATTGACCGCACTGTCGCACCCTGGGGCCAAATGCACCAGCCTAGGCCTGGCCTTGTTTGCTTGCAGAATTCCAGCGAGCCGCTGATCCGTGTGTCCTTGTGTGATGGAGGATTTCGCCGGGCTGCCCAGGGGTCACCCATTTGTCCAGCGCTATCTATGCTACATTTATACCTACACCTCGGGATATTTTGGAGCTACTGTAAATGTTGGTAGATATTGACAGTGACCCACAGACCTATATACATATTGTGTTTAGATGATATTCCATACATTGGGTGTAGTGTAATCATTACCCATACATCGAACATATCGTGGGTTGCACAACCCCTTGAACTACCCCACGCGGGCGACCAAACCCAGGTGATGAGTTTGCGCTGATTGTCTCGATTTCGCACATCGTGGCTGATGGGCTTCTAGGTGTTGTTTTGGCGGGGCAAGATGTTTTTAAGTGTTAGTTTGGTTACCCTCCGGTCATCAAACATGGCACTGGGAAATTTCCCATCAACGGAAGTTTTCATGGGAAAATCATCTATCAACGAGGCGACATTCCATTGCCCTGTTTGATGGAGGGTATGAACTTAGGAGTTCAAGGATGTTGCAACTAAACGAGAACGGACATGTTCACCAAACTTGTGAGTTTCAGGTAGCCCCGAGGATGAACGTGATGAACCTGCACCACAAACGGACGCAGCATTTTCAAGGTTTCACCAATTCAAGTGAACCCTGTTTCAGGTTGGGTAGTACTACCACTCTGGAAAATTGATGCAACGAATTTCAGGAGTGTTTGGTATTTTCTGAAGGCGGCATCAAATGCAGCATCTGATGGGTTGCGAAACTGGGTCCCTGCCGGATGTGAAACGAGGCACACTTACTACAAGCTCTTTGAAATGCTGACACAGAACGTCGAGCTCACTTCTCTCAATCCCCGCCGCAAGGTCCATTTCAATCAGAAGAGAATTCAGGCTGTGGGACAGATGCTCGGCTGAGTGATCTTGAGTGATTTTGACTTATGATTTTCCACCTTTTCATTGTCTTTTGGCAAATGTATTCAGTCTCCTATCCTCAAATCAGGTACCTACTTCGGATGTGTTCAAAAACAGCTTTCTTGCAGCTCATGTGGCTCTCAACATGGGGTACCCCCACCATCCCCCACCAACATTTGTTGCTTTACCATCATTATAATTATACCCACTAAAAGATTGCCATAGATGGGGACTCCATTCCCCATGGCTGCCATAGGAGGCAGTACGACTTCATCTACTCTCCGCAGTATGTCTTGAACTGCCTCAGCGGCAAGCTGCTCTATGGAAAGCCAAGATGTCGGGCATATTTGGTGAACTCAGAGAGAGTTGCAGAAATCAAGGTGGGAAACCCAGTGGGATGGGGTTCCACACACTTTGGATCTGGCGGATCTGCTCTGCCATGGTGATTTTGCTTCCGATGTGGTCAGCTTCACTCATTGAAACTGGATCTGCCTTATATAGCATTTTCTACCGTGAGAGGTAGGCTGACCATCCAATTGTGGGTTTCAATTCCTGTTTGAGGCATCACAGATCAAAGAACATCCAGATGTGCCTTTTGTGTCTACGAACCTCGACAGGCTGTCAGCTGGGAGGCAACTGATGTCTAGCTCTACTTGATCTACTTGACCTAAAGACCTAAAGACTATTGTGGGAAATTGTGGGAATCCGTCAAAATTCAAGTACCTCAAGTGAAATATATCAACCTTATTAGACCATTCCTCATATATTTTTGTGGTTGATGATTTTGTTCCGGCTGCCCGCTGTGAGTTCGGGTCCCATTGTTCCCATTGAGTTCGTCCTGTTGGTGGCCGAGGAATGACGTGCTGACATCACTCTTTGGAAGACTCATTGACGCTCGGGTGTCTCGGTGAAGATGGTGATGGCACGAATGTTCCTGAGATCATTCGTCTTGGACATGTTGGAGAGATTCTCAATGAGTCTTCAGAGCTGTAGATTCAGAATATTCATGGATGGTTCATGGTGAATGAACTGCTTTCTATGGAGATACACATAGATATAGATCCTTCCAGCCACTGTGGCTCGTCGTGTCATCTGCCAGGTTTGTTCCATGGCCATCAACTTCCGAAATCGCATCGCTGGAATTTGCGAGGCGGGGCCCTTAGAGAGGAGACCATGATGGATGCTGCACTTTGTGAAGCGATTTTGGAATGGAATGAGCCATAGAAACCACAGCGATCCACGGTGAAGTCGCGTGGATTTGCTCAGGATGATGCTGGGAACTACCAGGCCTTTGGGGATTTCGTGTCAGGGGATGGCTGGAACTTGGGAGTTTCAGCAGGTTTCCAGTCCCCTTTTCGAAACGATTCTGTCTGTTACTCCGAAATATTAGCTCTTTCCCTGCCATGCCATGCCCAAAATGTCACCAGTTCAACACCAATGCCCTGCTGTCATCCGCCAGGGCCTGCTATGTCTCGGGCCCAAGGACTTTGCAGAGCCTGCATCGATCCGACGCCTTCTGCAGAGGGGCGGCACCACTGGTATTTACCATGAGATATCCAATGGTGCCGATGCTGTTCGGGGACCAAGCTGGCATCATGTTTGTACAAACAATTTCTGTTTGTCTCCAAAATAAATGTGAGAAGTTTGAGAAAGAGTTTGGAGTGAAAAAGCGCTCAGCATTCTATCCAAAACTGAGTTGAGTATACATCCTTGGGAGTGGGCAGGGAATTTCCGATGACAGAACAGTTCAGGTGACGTTTGGGTCCCGCAAATTTGGTATTTCCGGCAACTATTTCGTTTGGTGAATGATAGTGATTTGTTATTTTCATTCTTCCAGTCTTCGCATTCACACTTGAGGGTGTAGTTGGGGTGGGTAATATGCATAGCAACACGCCCCATAAGTTGAGATATAACCCCGACAAAGTTATGGTTGTATTGATATCCAATGAATTTCAGTTATATCATATATATATATATATCGTATTATTCCATTGTTATCCATTAAATATCATTTATTGTAATGTTATCCATTATGGTTGGTTATATTCCCATGAATCCCATCCCCCTGATACCTGAAAAAAAAACCCATGGCCGATGGTCCCATGGCCAAGTGATTTCATCATTTCATCCCCTTCAAAAGAATGGTTTCCAAGGGGGTGTTTAGTAGGGGAAAGGATTATAACAAGATATAAACAGTAGTGTATAAACCTTTGTTTTGATACTTATATATTATATATCACCATTTAATCTGTCCCAGGTGACGCCTGCCCCTGACTTTTGGCAGACGTTGAAGTCCCGCCTGGCGGTGGGGAAGCTGAGTGATGGGCCAACCGCTGATGGGCCGAGTTTTTTTTGATCTGGACACTTCAAAAGCTACTGATGTAAGATGATGTACCATCTGGTTATGACTAACATAGCCATGGAAAATCCCTCATAAATGGAGGTTTCCAACTGGGAAAATCATCTATAAATGGGCCATTTTCCATGGCTATGTTAAATAACCAGAGGGTAAGAGTGAATTACGGTTTTTATCATTTGGAGACACTTGTCTCCCTGCGTTTTGGGTGAAGCTAAATGATGACACCTGCACATGAGTTGGATGTCCAAGGGTGGAATATCCTCATACTGGTTGGCCAGGTTTTTTAGGCAAGATATACCACATTCCCAAAACACATAATCAATCCCAAGGTTTTTAGATGATTTTCCACGAAGTCAAACTGATGTTAGCAAGGTTTCGTGCAAAGGTCCGATATCCATTATTATCCATGATATATCATCACAATATCCCATCCCATCCTATCCTCATTTTTGCATGGAGAGCCCATGAGGTCATGACGAACTGGGCCTTCAATCAGCCTCAGTTGGAGCAGTGTCGCATGCTGCTGCACCTGCCACATTTTGATCTGGAGGAGGCGCAAGCCACGGGACATTTTAAGGGGTCCCCTCTTGGATTGGATAGTTTTTTGGAGATTTTCACAGGTCGATCTGTAAATGTCGATATTTCTGGAAAATTGTGATATTAGGTTCCAACAACATTTTTCAACAGCTTAAATCTTACCCATCTGGGGGATGAAGCCCAGTTGCTCGGTGCCAGGTCAACTCGGACATGGCAGTGATCTTCCGGCCCCGGGCAGGTGAGCTTGCGGTGCCGCGGCGCATGCGTTTGGCAACCGCAAAGGCTTCAGTGGGAATCACCCAAAATGGGTGCAAGATGTTTTGAACAAGGGAGTGCCCCTAGTGATACCTCTAGTGATTGAAGTTTCAATAGAAGGAGATTTGAAGTTTCCATAAGGAGATATTTCCCAAGGTGTTCAGGGATTCCACCCACCAAAAAGGGGATAAAACCATTAACGTGCCCTGGGTATGTCCAAAACCATGGAAGACAAATACCTCATGATGGAGGATGGTCCTTGCGAAGATGAATGATGGTAATTATGGTGAGAGTTGCAAGAATCAGCTGGGGTATGGGTGCTACTTGGACCAACATCCCACAGATCAAAACAAAAAACACTTCGTAACTGGTTTAGTCACTGGGGGTCATGACGCAGCTATGGATAGGAAAATCCGGGGACTGACACAAACAAGAGTCATTCACCATTTGCGGGGATAGTCATTAACCAGTCCCGACCCAATATCTCCCATTTCATGGGAGTTCTTTTTTTCTTCTGAAAAAAACAGGCTTAGTGGTAGGAAGAAGCACATGATGGTGGTTGAGATGGATCTTGCTATTATGTTCTTATTTTAACATCTTGAAAAGAACCTGATGGTGGTTGTTGACACAGCATATTTTACTGTTGTTTTTTTGCTTGTTGGTTTTGAGTACTGATTTTCTGAATGTTTGAGGCCGGATTAGACTCACATACTCCCGTTTGATGCCATTCTTGCACAGAATACATGACAAGACATGAGTGATTGAAAGGCGTTGGGATCCCCGACTCTAGTCTATAGCCAGCACTAAGTGGTTTCTGAGTCACGCTTCCATGGTCCCCCAAAAACCAGAATTTCCAACATTTAAGAATTGGTTGAAGAATCTGGGTTTTCACGATGGTGTTTAATCATGGTGTACGGAGTTTTCCTTTCCGTCCTAAGGTTCTTACCTTTCTGAAGGACTTGGACATGGATGAGCTCGTGAAAGAAGCCGATGGCATCTTAGGGCGGCCCTTGTCACCCGAAGTCTTTCGAGAAAAGAAGTCCGGCTGCGGCCTGCACGTGTTGCAATGGGTGCCATTGTTGTTTGGAGAAAGGCTTCAAATTTATGGTGTCCAACATAATTAGGCCACGAATAGATACAAACAGTATGAAATAGATTTGGCGGCATGTTTATGGTTGCAAGCCACATGGACTTAGGTTGATTAGGGGATACGTGTAGTTTTTTTTGGTGTATTAAGCAATCTGGCCCAAGGTTAGTTATATATGTATATAGTCAATAGTCAATGGGGTTTATAAACCAACAGTGACTTGATCACCTGAGGATATTTTCAAATTGAAGATGAAGACAGCAGTGTCGGATGAATCAAAAGCATGCAACAAGAGAATGAACGATGCCTATTTTGGGGAAATACCAACTACATCTCACTATTTATCAGATCCTTTTTTCTTTGCATATCATATGTTGTCCAGTTTCTCCATTTTTCGGTCATGATGCATCATAGATCATGGGTAGCAAGTAAGGGGACCTCACTAATGTTTTGGTGGAATTAGTGTAATTCGGTTCGTCATAGTGATAGTTGGTGAGAAGTTGAACTTGCTACATCTTCTCTAATCTCTCCATTGCTTTTGATTTAATGTGGGTAAAACAATGCAATAAATAAACCATCCCCCAAATCACCATTTCTATAGGTGGGATTTCAACCATTCCCAGTCATTTTTGTGGTAAAAATGGCATAGTTTTTCCCACGATTTACAGTCCATGTCGAGGTGCTCATCCAATAAGCTTCACCGAGGCCTTGTTGATGTTGGAGCAGGGCTTAACCTTTGAAGAAGCTTGGTCCATGTGTGAAAGGCCAGCCGTGGGTAGCCACGGGTAGGTCTGACAGGTCCGAGAGGTCGGGTCCCAAAAAGCTGTGGACCAGTAAGACATGGTAAGACTTAAGTGTTTGGCCTTGGTGTTGCTGAATTTAGACAATTTTCCCAATCATTGGCTTTCCCTCTATAGTCATGCAAAAACACAATTCATTTTGTTTTCTAAACGGGCCACCGTCGGACTTGAAGACCTGCCCAAATCCCAGCATAATATACTTTTGGTGTGCCGCCGACACCTCACTGACACTGACAAAAATAGCATATTGTATTTTACTATATTTGATCCCAGAGATTTGTTGTTTTCGAACATGTTCTTAGGAGAACCACTGGTGTCCGTTTTGACCCAGAACTCAACATCCATTTTTCCCCACCTGCCAGGTGAGGGTTGTTGGATTTTATCACAGTTGTTCTCCTCCTCCTTCTTGTCCTCCTCCTGCTCGTCCTCCTCCTTCTCCTCCACCACCTCTGCCTCCACTTCCACGTCCACTTCCGCCTTGCCAACTCTTCGCCAATCTCTTCGCCAACTTCCGCGCGCAGTGGGCACCGCTGGACCTCAACCTGGGACCTTCCGAGCTCAGTGGGCACCGCTGGACCTCAGCGGCCAGATGGAATGCCAGAATATATGCCAGAAAGACTGCCAGCATATATGCCAGATAGACTGCCAGAATATATGCCACATAGAATGCCAAAATATATGCGAGAAAGAATGCCACATAGAATGCCAGAATATATGCCAGATAGAACGCCAAAATATATACCAGATAAAATGCTGGAAGATATGCCAGATAGAATATCAGAATAGATGTCAGATAGAATGTTAGGTAAAATGTCAAAACATATGTCAGAATATATGACTTGAAATGCCAGGGTGGGGATCACTCGAAGTAAAGTAATTTGAACAGGGCGGGAACCCTTCCTTATGGTATGAAGAGTTGGTGAAAGATCTGGCAGGAAACGGCCCATTGTGTATCCCAACGTCGGGGGACCGAGATGTTTTACTAATCAGATGTGCCGATGTTTCGAGTGGCTCGAAATGACAGACCCCCCAAATTTCATCGTAAAAATGGCTTTATTTTTCCCACCAAAAAGATGGTGATCTACGAAGAGTCAACAGCCAAGCCAGGTGGGATTCCAGCAGCAACTTCGATATTTGGAGAAGACCATGGCCAAAGTAGTGGACTTCAAGGTCTGAGGGTTCGAAGAACTCATTTAAGGGATCATTTCTTGGGTATTCAGAAATTCATGATATTCTATGTGTGTGTGTGTATGATACTGTATGTATATATATATACATACATATATAGATATATGTATATACATATATTGTTTTTTAATCTTTTATAATGCATATGTATGTATATATATATATATTTACATTTAGAGCTAACGCTCATCGTCGGCTCCGCCGGATTACTTGACCTCGATGTCATCGCAGGGTGGGCTTGAAAGCTATTGGATGGGGACCTGCTGCTTCAGAAATATATTCCTTATGCTTTTTTGAACATATTCATGGAATCATGGAAATGCGGTTTTCTTGTTGGAGCAAGTGGGGAAGGCTTGTTCCCGAAAGCTCCTGCGAAGGGTTTTTCCGAAAGAATTGCTGCCAATGTCAACTTTCCACTTCGTGTAAAAGCGCCTCTGTGTAAAAGACTTCTCTGTGTAAAAGCTTCTGCGTGTAAAAGCTTCTCTGTGTAAAGACTTCTCTGTGTGAAAGCTTTTGTGTGTAAAAGCTTCTGCGTGTGAAAGCTTCTCTGCGTAGAGATTTCTCTGTGTAAAAACTTTGTGTGTAAACGCGCCTGTGTGTAAAAGCTTCTCTGTGTAAAGGCTTCTCTGTGCAAAAAAATCTGTGTGTGAAAGCTTCCGTGTGTAAAAGCTCTCTCTGTAAAGGCTTCTTTGTGTGAAAGTTTCTGTCTGTAAACGTGCCTGTGTGTTAAAGCTCTCTGTGTGAAGACTTCTTTGTGTAACAGCATCTGTGTGTAACAGCTTCTGTGTGTAAACGCCCTTGTGTGGAAAAGCTCCTCTGTGTAAAGGCTTCTCTGGCTAAAAGCTTCTGTGTGTAAAAGGTCCTCTGTGTAAATGCGTTTGTCTCTTGTACAATCCTCTGTGTGTAAAACTTCTGTGGCTAAGAGCCGCTCTGTGTAAAAGACCCTGTGTGTGTGTAAAAGCTTCTGTGTGTAAATGCGCCTGTGTACAAGCTACTCACCAGCACCATTTATCATCATATTTTCTTGTGTGCTATCTTGTTGTCTCCTCCCCCAGCTTTCTTTCGGGCCACACTGTCGTCTAGTGTCAATCTGTAACGTCGTTTCTTGTTGAAGAATGCCAAGAACAGGTGAAAGCGTCGCTCGTTTAAAAATTCAACATAAACAGCGCACAAAGTGCTGTAATTTAGGACATTTTGCGCTGACAGATGGCAAGAAACCGCGTAAATACCACCGTTCTAGTCCCCGAAAGTGGATAAAACACTGTTGTTTACAGGGTTTCGTTCACGTCACGATCTTCGATTTTTTGAAAACCGCGTAAATACCAGCGTTTTTTTGCGTTCGTCAAGGCAAAAAATCGGCTCAACAAGTGCAAAAAATGCTGTAATCGAATGAAGTTTAGAAGTCAAACTTCCGACAATATGGAGAGATGAAAAGAGGGTCGAAAAGCAGGCTTGCTAAAGCCGCGGGTGCGGAGCCAGCTGGCCAGATGAGAGATGAAAAATTGCACGCCGTTGTGGCGAGAAGTGCATTTGCAAGTGAAAAAGCTAAAAACACCTCGCATTCGGACACTTTTTGAAGTTGAGATGTCGCAAAAGTGTACGCCGTTGTGGCGCGAAGCACATTTCGAAGTCAAAATGTACAAAACACACCATGGTCGGACCACTTTTGCAAGTTGAGATGCCGAAAAAGTGCACGGCGTTGTGGCGCGAAGCACATTTCGATGCCAACATGTTAAAAACACTACATGTTCGTGCCACTTTTGGATTTTCAGATGTTGTTTCGCATGGCAGGTGCAAGGGATTGTGGACCTTGTCAAACGTGAGCAAAACGTGAGGGTTTTGTAGCATTTCTAACGATGGCAGGCGTGGGGCATTTGAAGAGAATCTGTAAAGATGCATTTTCCGTGGCAGGCGCAGTACAAGAGACATGTTCATCAGAGCTGTTAGGAGGTCCGGGCGCTGATTTCCTGAGAGCGGTTGCATTTTGGAGCATCAGATCTTCAGGTTTGCTGAGATGATTTTGCATGACAGGTGCAGCACTTCGTATGACCTGGCATCACTTTTTCCAGGCAGGCGCAGTAGTTTAGACAAATGGACCGGAAAAATCGCAAAACTCATTGGTACGAGGCCGTCAACTCTGCACTCAACTTTCGATTTTTGAACTACGTCTCGCAGAATTGCTTCGTTTTCAAGCTTGCAGATAGATAGACAGACAGACAGAGAGATAGATAGATAGATAGGTAGATACGTAGATAGGTAGATACATAGTTAGATAGACAGATAAGATAGATAGATAGCTAGATAGATAGATAGATACATAGATAGATAGATAGACAGACAGACAAACAGATAGATAGATAGATGGATGGATAGATAGATAGATAGATAGATAAGATAGATAGATTAGATTAGATAGATAGATAGATAGATCGATAGATCGATAGATAGATCGATCGATAGATAAGAAAGATAGATAGATAGATAGGTAGGTAGGTAGATAGATAGATAGATAGATAGATAGAAGATAGATAGATAGATAGATAGATAGATAGATTAGATTAGATTAGATTAGATTAGATTAGATAGATAGATCAGATAGATCAGATAGAAAAGATAGATAAGATAGATAGATAGATAGATAGATAGATAGATAGATTAGATTAGATTAGATTAGATTAGATTAGATTAGATTAGATTAGATAGATAGATAGATAGATCAGATAGAAAAGATAGATAAGATAGATAGATAGATAGATAGATAGATAGATAGATAGATTAGATTAGATTAGATTAGATTAGATTAGATTAGATTAGATTAGATTAGATTAGATAGATAGATAGATAGATCAGATAGAAAAGATAGATAAGATAGATAGATAGATAGATAGATAGATAGATAGATAGATAGATAGATAGATTAGATTAGATAGATAGATAGATAGATAGATAGATAGATAGATAGATCCGATAGATCAGATAGATCAGATAGATCAGATAGATCAGATAGATCAGATAGATCAGATAGATCAGATAGATCAGAAAGATCAGA